GCTCGAAGTCAGGGAACCAGACAAATACGCGAGGAAGGATGCTCCAGATCTCCCCATCCTCCCACACATCTGGCCGGCTGGGACTCTGCCCTCTGCACTGTCACTCCCTGAACTTGACCTGTTTGCTGCTTTGCTGTCTCTCCCCACCTAGAACGAGAGCCCCACACACGGGACTTCTGAGATCTGTTTGCTCTTAGACTCTCAGCACCTACAACAGTACCGGCCAAATACTAAGCACTATGAATATCCACTGGGTAAAAAAACGAATTTATTCCAGAGAGCCTGGCACGTGATCAGTGCTTCGAAGAAATCTACAGAAAGGCTGAGTCTGTAACAAGCAGTATGACTTATGGCAGTATGGCCTATGCTGGCCTTGGTGATGAGACCTGCATGCTAGCTAAGGAATGACCTTGGGCACCCTGAGAAGGCCTGAGTATCGGTTTTCTCATCCCTAAGATGAGAAGAGCAAAGTGCCCAGCCTGGCTGCCAGGGGCCAGCTGTGATACAAGTGGAAGAGCTTTACAGTGATGCTGACTACTGTTCCTAATCAACAATAAAACTAACTATTCATAATGAACTGGCTCAAGGCGACTGTGTTCAAGGGTCTGGAGAGAAGCCATTTCTTCCCAACCTGGAGGAAAACATCCTTGGGGTGAAGGGCAGTAAACGGGGGGAAAGCAATGCAGAGAAGCAGCACACACCCAGCCCACGGGGTCCCCAGCCTGTGTCCCCACATCTGCCCACCTGACAAGGTGCCCGACAAGGCAGCATCCAGCGTGGACACCTGGAAGAGCCTCAGGGCCTCCTCCACGTCTGCCTCTGTGGCGAAGGGCTGCAGCTTCATCTTGCTGAGGGCCTCAGCGATGCGCACGATGGCCTCCAGCTGCCTGTGTGGGGCACCAGGGAGGCCTCAGCCCATCTTCCCTTCCTTGCCCACCCTGACATCAGGGCAGTACCTGCCCGAGATAGTAAGATAACTGGGGAGACTGCTGGCTGTCCCATGACCTGTCTCCATTTCCTCCTCAAGACCAGAACCCCAACTTTTATTTCAGCACATGGCACCCAACTAAAAAACACTTCATAGCCTCTCTTGCATCTAGGTGTGCCTGTGTGACTAAGGTGAGGCAAATAATTAAATTCAAACAGTTTTTGGGAATTTTAAAAAGTGTCTTTAGAAGGTGGACCCTTCTTTTCCTTCTCCTCCTGTCACCTGGAATGCAGAGGTAAAGGCTGAAGTTTCAGCAGCCATCTTGGACTATGAGGATAAAGGTGAGCCTGGGGGAGCCAGGATGCTGATGACCGAGGCACCATCGTACCAGTCCTGCACCACCTACTCTCAGAAATTTTTACCTGAGAGAAATACACTTCCAATTTACATAAGCTACTTTATTTGGGTTTTCCATTACTCACAGCCAAATCCACTTCTAACTAATCACTACTGAAGGCAGGATTCAAACCAAGTAGGTCCACGCTCTTAATCACAGTACTCGGCTGAATAAACTCACAAGAACACAGAGTTAGGAGCTAAGAAAACTGAGGTCCGGAGACGGGACAATTTCCCCGCAGTCACACAGTGGGAGAGGGGAGGACCCAGGACTCCTGACTTCCAGGCCTATACCTTCCCTCACCCTCGGCCTTCCCCTCAATGAGGGAAGCCAGATGACATTCAGAAAAGAAGGTTCTAGGGTTTCTTGGCATTGAACAAACCAAGAAATACAGATAATCAGGGCGACGACTATTCACACTCCAAAAGGACTGCTCCCTGCCCAGCGGGCCTCACCCAGGGTTAGCGATGGCCCCAGCCAGGGCCTGCCAGACACACGCACCCGGTGAAATGGGGCCCATGGGCCACAGCCCTGCCCGCCTGCTCACCGCACAGTGATGGGGATGCTGGAGCGGCGGTCACTGTCCCTCTCGTGCTGACGGGCCCCGCTCCGCATGATGATGTACCGGTTCTTTAGTTTCTCTGCGGCCTCTGCCGACAGCCGGGGGCCGCATTTCCTGCAGGAAGAGGAGTGGCTGCCATGAGGCCAAGAAGGAATCTTGGGGCAGTCCCCCAGACTGGAGCCCTCTGCTGGCGTACAAACATGGGTTGGTGCATCATTTGGAAGAGATTAAGTAAAACCTAGGGCGATGGGCGGGTGCCACAGAGATCAACATCGGAAAAGAAAAACAAGTGCTTTTGTCAGAAAATAGGTGGAGAAAAGCCAGGTCCCATCGTAGGGAGTGAAGATCACTCCTTTCTTACTGTTGGATGACATGTGGCTCGTCATAATGTGGGCATGTACACAGTACAGAACAAAGGCACCATCACAAGGCACTAGATGGCAGGCTCACAGCAGTCCTCCACCCAGAACTTCTCTACCCAAAACATCTGAGGATGTGATATGCAAAGATGCCCACAGGGGGCTGGGCACTGACTACTGTCCAGGGGCAGGGAGCCCGTCAGACTCACCCAGGAGGGAGGGTGGGCAGCAGCGGTGGCTGATCAGATCTACCTGTCCTACCCGCTCCTGCCTCCCTTCAGGTCAGCTGTCACTGGTTTACACAAAGCCTTAGATCACCTAATCCAACCCTTATCCTGAGGATGAGGACATCGAGGCCAGACGGAGTAAGCTCCCCAAGGCCATGAGGAGCTCGGAACCGCGATGAAGACCCAGGAACCACTGGGCACTGCTCCACCCATCACCCCAGGGGAGGTGGTGAGACAGGAACCCACCCAACTGCAACACTTCCCCACCCACTGGAGGGGCACCAGAAGATTCCTCCACCTTCTGGTTTCAGCTCCAAAAGAGACAACTGAGGTGTATGTCAAAAATCTTGGCATAGTGGCTAAGAGCACAGCCTCTGGAACTAGGTACCTGGGTTCAAATCCTGGCTCCAGTAACTCCTACCTGTGACCTTGAACAAGTTAAATTTTCCTTGCCTCAGCTTCTCTATTTATAAAATAAAATGATCATATACCATAGATTTGGGCGGAGATTTTGGGGAAGAGCTCAAGTTAAAGTACTCAGAATACCTGGCAAATATGATTACTCTATGTATGATTACTATTATCGGCAATCTGTGAGAATAACAATAATTAAAGTTGCAGCTGCCATTAACCGAGTGTTTACCTGATGCAGGGCTGTGCCAAGCACTGACTCATCGCCTGGTATAGTCCTAAAAAAACCCAGGAAACCCCAACCTAGGGAAAGCGAGGCTCAGGACAAATGACTCACCCAAGGTCACACGGTGGGGATGTGCGCCACCCAGAGCCTATGTCCACAATGACCGCACTGCCCTGACTCCCTGAACGTCAGTCCAGGGTGGGTCTTTAGCACTAACTAAATCCTACACTTTCATTTTGGAGACAGGAAAACTGAGGCTGAGAGCCACTGAGTGACCTGCGTAAGGTCAGAAAGACGCAGAACAGATTCAGCAGAGCTAAAACCCAAAGAATGGCATCATCTCAGGCATCCTGTGTGAAGACTGGGCCCAGGGAACAGGGTTCTCTCCCACCCCAGGGGCGCTGGGCACAGAGCCAGCACCCAGGACTCACGCGCGGCAGTAGGCGATGAACTTCTTCAGCTTGGTGAGGTCAATCTCGCCCTCCACAGCCTGCATCTGTGTCAGCGCACTCACGTGCAGAGTGATAACATGTTTGGCCAGCATCTGGGGGGTAGAGAGGACACTGGGTCAGCCTGCAGGCTGTCAGGAGCCTGGGTCCCAGCACAGAGGTCAAACAGGCAGGGCAGGAAGAGCTGGTAGGGCTAGAACAAGTAGAAAAGGCTCCCTTTTTCCCTGGGGGCTGCTAGCTGCTAAGAATATCCTGGGCCTACTCTGTCACCCAGGGGGAACAGCTGCCCCAAGAACAAGTCTCCCCCAAGGGAGGCAGAGCAGAGCAGCAGAGACAGAAGGAGCCTGACGACACCGAGACCCAGATCCAACTGGGACTCAAACCTCTGGGCCTGTCCATTACATAAGCCACTAAGTTCCTTTCAGAAATTTACAAACCAGAACTGGGTGGGGTTCTATCACTTGTACCTAAATGTCAACTCTGCATTTCATGTGGAAGGGACTGAGGCCCAGGGGAGAATGATTTACCCCAAATCACCCACACGCCTAGCTCAATGCTCTCTGCGGTCCCCAATCATAGCCTCCCTGGCTTACCTGCTTTCGGGCCTTACCTGATGGTCAGGACTTTGGCCACGCCCCTCGTCCACCCTCCCCCAGTACCATGGGTCTGGCTGGAGCCTGGCCCCATGCACCCCACGGCCCCCAACGTACCATATCCCTCTCCTCATTGTGCTCGTCCTTGACAATGAAGATCATGTCGAAGCGGGACAAGATGGTGGGCATGAAGTCGATGTTGTCCTCCCCCTTCGTCTCATCCCAGCGGCCGAACACCGAGTTGGCAGCAGCCAGGACGGAGCAGCGGGAGTTGAGGGTGGTGGTGATTCCGGCCTGAGAGGGAACAGTGAGGGGGAGCCGATGACAGATCAGAGATGAGAACCCCAGGACACACCACTCCTGCGTGAATGCACGCACACAATTCTAGGCCCGCCGCTGCTGCCGGAAGAGGCCTGGGCGGACAGGACTCGGCCCCAGCGCTCAGAGCACCCTGGGCACGGCTGGGCCAGGCCGGATGCTGGCCGAGTGTGCTTGCCAGGGAGGACCGCTCACCTTAGCAATAGAGATGGTCTGCTGCTCCATGGCCTCATGGATTGCCACACGGTCATCTTCCCGCATCTGTGTTGGGGAGAGAAATGTCCATGAGAGCCAGGCAAGGGAGTGGCAGAGCAGTGGCAGAAAAAAAGATACAGCAGCAACCATTCCCAAGTCTTGACTCCATGCCAGGCCAATGGCAGAAACCGGGTCATCTCTAATCCTGGTGACAACTATGTGGGGCTGGCTGTCCTCTCCCCACTCTCCACATGTGAAAGCAGGCTGGGAGAGATCAAGCTACTCCCCATGGTTACCAAACAGTGACAGCCAGGGACTGAATACAGGACTCCAAGTCAGAGGTGGTTTCTGCTGTCCAAAGCTCTGAGACCACTAGGTGCCACCACCTAACAGCCACCGCCTCACCGTGTCAGCCTCACCTTGTCAAACTCGTCGATACAGACGACCCCACCATCGGCCAGGACCATGGCTCCACCTTCCATAATGAAATTCCGGGACGAGGGGTCCCTCATTACTGAGGCTGTCAGGCCAGCTGCGCTGCTGCCTTTCCCAGACGTGTACACCTGGGCGAGGTAGATTAGAGCAGGTGTCAGGGCCAACACAGCTCCATCTCCATACTCTGACCCCAGTAAGTCAAGGAGCCCAGAGAGCTGTGGCTTGCCCAAGGTCACACATCACAGCTGGCCGCAGAGCACAGAACTCAGGGCGCCTCCTCTTGATAAGGAGGCCACCCAGGCCCCAGTCTGGCCTGAAAGTTCACTCCTGGAGAGGCGTTCACATCCATCACTCACCTGAGCCCTACCACAGCCCCATGAAGCAGCGCTTAGGGGTCCGCTCACATAGAAGCGAACTGAGCCCCGAGGAGAGGCGTGACACACATCTAGGGGCCTAAGAGCTGGGTGGACTCCTGACTCCTAGGAAAAGGCTCCCCTCACCCCGAGTCCCTTGTCATTTTTATACACACCAGCACAACACATGCTGCCACTGAGCCCTTGAACTGTGGCACGTCTAAACCAAGAAGTGCTTAAGTATAAATACAAATTTCAAACTTAGTGCTTACAAAATAAGGTAATGTACCTCCATAATACTTTTTCATATTACGTTACATATGAAAATAATGTTTTAGGCATATTAAGTAGACTAAAATTAATGTCGCCTATTTCACTTTTTGAATGTGGCTACTAGAATGTTTAAAAATCACATGTGACTCATATTTGTAGTTTCGTGTGCATTTCTACTGGACAGCCCTGGTATAGAGCACTGGGCACACTTCAGCCCTATCCGGAGACCACGCCTCCGACCTGTACCCATCCCACTGACCACGGTAGGCGTCCTCACCCTGCTCTGACACCCCAGACACATTCATCACTGCACAAAGGCCTCAGCTTACCAGACACTTGGGTTCAATACACTGTGCCTATGCTTACTAGCTGTGGGACCTTGGCCAAAACACTTAGCTATTCTGTACCCCAGTTCCTTCATCCATAAACGGGGTCACAGTACCTACCTACCAGAGTTGTGATGGCATTAAATGAGTAAATATGTGTAAAGTATGCTCTTCAAACAGTGCCTAGCCCTTGACTTCGACCGTAACTTTTATCAATGTAAAGATTTAGCGGATGGAAAAACTGAAGCTCAGGGACCTTAGGTGACTCGCTCAAGGACCACAGCCATTTACTGGCCAGGCCGAGATCCAACCCCATCCTGCCTCTCAGTCCAGTGCTCCGCCCACGACCCCAAACCTACACCCACTTGTTGGTTTCCTTCCTCTTCTCCTCCTGTGCCACCTGACCACATCCAAGAGAAATGAGGAGGAGATTCTGGGTGAGCCTACCCACTGAGAGGGTCCTAGGGACCTGGTGGCCCTGCCCTGCAGCCTTCCTCCCTGCTGGGACAGCCAGGGAGAGAAGCTCGTCCTGGCACTCACCCCAATGGGAGAACACTTCTCCACAAACTTCAGCAGCTGGGACTTGGCTGTCCCCGGGTCCCCCAGCATCAGCAGGTTGATATCCCCTCGGCGAGTGAGTCCATCGGGGAGCCTAGGAGAGGACGGGCACATGGGCAAGGCGAGAATCTGCCAGGGGCTGGGACTCACTCAGGCTGGTCACGATGATGGGCTGGCTGGCAGTCGGTCCCCTCCGACCTATCACAGGCCTCAGAGCAGGCAGGGGCTCTGGGCTGAGACCACATTCATACTCCACTGTGTTCCCTCGCCTCGCCTGTGGTAACTTGCCTCCCAAGGAGGGGAGGGTCAAAGGAAATGGCTCCTGGGGCTGGGCACACAGTGAGCATCTGATAAGCAAGCATCCCTCACTGCTGAAAAGGTAAGGAGGGGAGCCGGCAGGGGGCTGTGCACGACCACCAGGCGGGCAGGCTCCTGGCCCACGTGTGCCTATGACGAGGCCCGTGCAGTCTCTATGCCTCAATTTCCTCATCTGTGAAACGGGCATGACCCTAACTTTCTCACAGGGACTGACTGGATTTCAGGACACACAAAAGCACTTAGAAGCAAGCCCAGCATATAGTAAGAACTCAGTAAATGGTAGCTGTTGCTAATATTTTTTATACCTCTATTACTTTATAGTTTCAAAGAACGCGTGATGTTCTTTGTTAGGTTTTTCACCTGTCTTATTTATGTGGAAACTTGGACTCAGAATGGTGGCATCTCTTGCCCAAGGTGACACAGTAAATAAGCGGCACAGCAGATTTAATCCCTGGTCTCCAGGCTCTGAGCCCAGAGCTCTCCCCACTGGCCCTGTCAAGTCCACCAGAGTCCATCCCTGGCCAGAGTCAGGGGTCTCCCTGGAGAAGAAAGCATGGATGAGCCCCTGGCCAGCTGACAGTGAGCCCAGGAGCTGGGAAAGGTGCCTGGGAAAAGTAGCAGACGGGGATGCAGGTCCTGGGGACAGGAAAAGGACATTCAAGACCTGACCACCTGGCGGCTGTCTTCCTGCGGGCCAAGTCTCCATTCCCTCCCCAGACCTGGGAAGCCTGGACTCCCACCTCTTCCGGGAACCCCCAAAGAGCAGGCAGGCGATGGCCTTCTTCATGTCTGTGCCCCCGAAGATGGAGGGGGCGATGCTCCTGGAGATGACCTCGTAGACATTGGGGAGGGCGGCCAGACGCCGGAACTCTTCCTCCTCCTGCGGGGTTACCGCCCCAGCAAAGCTGCGGCCTGGGCGGGCAGGGGAGGGAACCGTGTGAGAGGGAGCCCCTTCCAGCCCGCTGCCCCGGACAGGGCCTGCAGGGTCCGGACAGCAAAGAGACAAGAGACCCCGGTTCTTCCCCTCAGAAGTGGGTCTGTGTGGGAAGGGCGGGGGTCTGAGGAGCTAGGGGACCAGACCATGGAGGCCCTTGAGCCCCTGGAAAAACTTCCATCTTGCAGAGAGAGGTGGACTGTCATCTCAGCTGAGTGACATGCTGTCTGGTAATGACAGCATCGCTTGCCGTGGCTGCTATGCAGAACACAGAATGTAGGGGCGAGACCAGGGAGACCCAAGTATAATCCAGGCGACAATGGGGACTCGGCCCAGGGCACAAAAAAGCCTGAGTCCCAACGTCCCAAAGCCAACTCACCAGAGCCATCTGTGTCCACCTGGATGCCCAGGACACGAATGTAGGAGCTCCGGATGCCCACGCCCACCCTGTCGCGGCCCTTGCTAGAGGTCAGGCCAAACTTCTTGATGGAGTAGATGCCCATGATGGTGACCCGATTCCCGGGTACGACCTTGTCACACAGGTACCTGAGAAGAGGACGGGGAGGAAGGGTAAAAGGTGAGACCTGGTGGGGATGGCAAGTTTTTGACTTTACACCCTTCATCACACAGCAGTCCGCCTTAGCATTTTTACCAGAGGCCTCACAAGCTGAGCTGGTTCCAGACCTCTCCACCCCCAAAGGCCGGATAATGGGTCCCTCTCCCCCTCACCATGGCCCACTCACTGCTTGCAGGACAGTGTTAACCATCCTTGGTCATGGTGATGGCCCGCCGCTTTCACAAGCTCATTGGTTATGCTGCCTGGGGCAGAGGCGGGGCTCAGTGCTGGCCCGCCCCAGCCTCGGAGGCCCAACCTCCATCTCATCTGCTGTCAGCCTCAACAAGGGCTCCCCTTGCCATCTCGGGCGAAGCCTTCTTCCTCGTGCCCTCCCAGCCTCTTTGCCAGGGCCACTCCCTCTTTCTGCCTTTTCATGGCTCCATGAGTTCAGCAAAGTCATTTTGCCTCTAAACTTTCATTTCCTCTTTTAAAAAGTAAGATGGTGAAACAAGGAAATCTCCAAGCCCCTCTAGCCAGAGCCATGGGACATGGAGTGAACACTGGGACATCTATACTCTGTGACGTCAAAGAAATCACTGCGCCTCTCTAGACTGGCGCCATGATAAAGTGATCTGACCTGCCTTGACTGCTGTGTAACAGACACAAGTGCTTTAAACACCAGAGTCACATTAGGACAATGATTTCACTGTTAACATTCCAGGACAGGATTCTTTGACCCCTCTTCCCATGCCCCATTTCTTAAGCTTTGTGGATCACAGAGTGTGTGTACAATAATCTAATAAATACCAAGTACCTAATTTGTATGAAGGAATTATGAAAAACATCTGACAAACATTTTTCAGTTTAAACCTCATAGCAGCTGGACAAAGGATCAAGGACTGTCATGATCCCCAATTTACTAATAAGGAAACTGAGGCTCAGCAAGCTCATGTAACCTGCTCAAGTGTCTGACTTCTACACTTTCTGCTGCCACTAATGAAACTAAAGAAACCTATGGCTCCTCAGTAAACTTACATGTGCAGAACACCTGCCCATTGTCAGGGTGTGCAAGCCCCAGGTAAGATCCTGGTCAATGCCTCCAAGCCTTTTACCTGGGTTCCCGTGGGGGTACCAGGCCCCAGCCTAGTACCTTCTCCCCTTTCCAATGACTCAGCAAAATCTAAGGAAGACTCTTAACAGAAAGCTCAGGGCAGGAGCAGGGTGTCAGGCTGGGAAGAGGCTCTCTCAGCTGCTGGTTATCTAGCTGTGCCTCCCAGTTCTGGGAGGGCTGGAGAGATCCTCCCAGGAAAAACACAGGCTCAAAGCCCGGCTCCTCCAGTCACTAAGTCAGTTACATGTCCTCATCTGCACAATGGGGACTGACGTGCCCCTGCAGGTTACGGGAAGACAAGATGACAAGAAGTGTATGTGAGGCACCAGGCAGAGAGCACGTGTCCTGTAACCAGTCATCCTCTCCTCCCCCACTCACTATGCTGGACGGTCCACTCCCAGCACCAGTTCAGGGCCACAGCCAGGGATACCCAGCCCTGTAGACGCCCACTCCCAGCCCATGCCCGCCTCACCTGTCGCAGTAGAGCTGCGTGTGTCTGGGCATCTCGCCGTGGGGCACGGCGTCAGGCAGCTCCTGCAGCTTGAGGGTCTGGAAGTCCACGCATTTGCACTTGTCGGGCATGATGAAGTAGGGGTCCAGTGGGCACTTGGGACGGCCAGCCTGATCCCTGTGCAGGAGAATGAGAAAGGGTCACCAGAGCTACCCTGAGGACTCAGGGCCTGGGGAGCCCATCCCAGGAGCCCAGAGACGTGGCCAGCAGCAAATTAAGGGTCTTGAAGATAAGCTGCGGAAAGGCTCTGAAAGGGGGTGGCTCTGAGGGGACCACACACCAGGCTAGGAGTGGGGAGAGCTGCTCCAGGCCTAGCTTTTCAGTGCACTTGCTGGGAGGCAAATGAGTCACACTCTTAGCCCCTTCGTGAGGTCTGTGTCCCCACAGGTGAAGAGGGGCCAGATTGCTCATGACCTTGCTAAACCCCCAATCGAATCCCAGGATTTCTCAGTGAGGACCTGGGCACCTCCAGACCATTCTTGGGGTCTAGGTCTCTATGTACCCCTATGGAATGAAGGCATCATTCAACTACTACAGCAATAGCATAGCGAAGCACCTACTGTGTGCCGGGCACTATTCTAGATGCCAGGGACTTCTAGATTGTTTGGATGCAAAAAGAATAGAAACATTATGAGACCAAGGTTTGGGTCTGACATCTGAAAAGATGGCATTTCCATTTGGGGGTGGGTTGGGGAAACTAAGGAAGGACAGATCGAGGGATAGGATGGAATCAGCTCGGTGTGGGATGTGGTACATGTTCAAATCTGCGATGCCCACAGACGCCTTCTCAGAGGTGTCTGGCAGGCAGCTGAATTTGAGTGTGGAGTCCAGTGGAAACACACATTTGAGTGTCTGTGGACATGGACAGTATTTAAAGTCCGAGGTCACCTAGGGAGTGCGTGCAGAAAAAGGGGCGGCTGAGTCCGGCAGCATGGCAACACTTAGGTCAGGAAGCTGAGGAGGAACCAGCACCGGAGGGGCGAAGAGCAGGCAGGGAGAGAAGGTGGGCCCATTAGAGCCGGTTGGCAATGTCTTCTGTAGGGCTTGGACAGTAAATATTTTCAGTTTCTGGGCCAAGAGGCCACATACTGCCTTTGCAATGCAAATGCGATCTTGGGCAATATGTAAATGAATGAGTGGCTGTGTCCCTAGGCCCTCAGATCCAGCCCAGCAGGCCACAGTTTGCTTCAGAAGACTCCGGACAGACTCACTGCCCTGGACTGCTCTTCTCTCCCAGCCCTGTCTGGCTGTCCTGGTGGGAGAGGAACTCACCAAATGCAGAGGGACACCAAGCCTGGTTCATAGCCTTGAGCCCCGGGGCGTCGGCTCTGCATGTTCCCACTAGGTGCCCCCTGCCCCAGCCCTCCACCACC